TCTTGTAGTACTCATGTCTGCGCGATAAGCTAAACACAGTCGGGCTGTGAACGGAGTACAGACCAAGTTGAAGCAACCAGAGCCGATTTTCCGTCTGAACTATTCGATAGGAGGTCATATTTGCAGTTTGGCAGGTGGGGGGGGGGTCATGTTCGGGGCTGAACAAGACGAGACTCAATTCCTAGTAATGTGCGAATGAGTGTCGTATTTGAGGAAGTTGATGGGGTTGTAGTTGCGACGGGGGAAGTTGTCTTTGATGTTTTGTTTTGACTTTTGGCAGAAACTTTAGATAAGAAGGTTCAGAGGATTGCCATCTACTAGACATATGGACCTATTTACCCTTCCAATAGCTATGATGGTGAGGGTTTTGAACGGGTGTAGTGGTTACAGAATTGGAGTATTGCGAATACAAAGGTTGCTTCTATAACCAACCTTAAGAATTCCTTGATGGAGTCGTATTGGGTTCTGTAGGATGTCACGGGGAAAAGAGTGTATGTTCTGAAGGAAAAGGAGGGCGTCGATGGGATCTAGAGATTTTTTGGCAAGGTTTACTAATTTTTTCCGAAATTCCTCGCGAATTTTTGTTTCAAATTTTGAAATTCGATTTTTTTCTGTTTCGATTGCAATATATTATTTTCACTGGGTTAGAGTTCAAATAATTCCATGATAATTCCATAATGTAAGGGAATTGAAGTATTACTCGTTGACCAGACCGGCCTGAGGGCCGCATAAGGATGACGACGTTTTGGAGAAGGGGGAGGGTGAAGCTGATTGAGGTCCAATTTTCCCTGCGTGCTCACCCCCTGGTGTAAAACATATCCTGGGACTACCAACTATGCCTAGAGTTACAAAAAGTCGAGTACGGGCACTTAAAGGACGAATTCACGATGAAAAAGCAACCCATTTCAAATTAACCTAGGTGGTACACGAAAGAAGGAAGAACCATGAGAAACGGCCCAGAACCCGAGAAATGGACCCCTTCCTTGCCCGTTGATTTGAGCATTGATGCGACTCTCATCGCTGTGCCCTCTTCAACACTACGCTCTCTCAGCTATCTAATCACTCGCCACGTATTGAACTACGGCGAGTGATCAGATGATCGGTGGGCGGAGATCGCCGGACCCGCCAGCTTTGAGGCATGATAGGTCGCCGAGGTCAAATTTTTCCATGCGAATTGCGCGTCAGTTCGCACCCTCAGGAGGTCCGTGGGTCCCTCAACTAGGTCAGTTTCCCTTTCTTCGACCTTCATTCTAATCGTGAATTCCTTAAAGATGCTTAGAACTTATCCTTTCTTAATAGGCGCAGAGCCAAATAGTGGCCCCGTCCGAACTTCGATTTCACCCTCCTGAAGTCCGCGTAAAAACCATGAGGTGGTCCGCAGAAGGACTCAGTCTGAGAAAATGCTTGGAAAACCGTGCACTAGACCAACCATTACGCACCCGACTGTCGAGAGTCACTTTCTACTAGCACTATTCATTTGCACCGGAGGGGGAATGAGTGTCTAATCTCTAAAATGACACACGCTTTTGGCGAAGACACCAAATTGTTACCAAATTGATGCCTCACAACATCGAGGGACGCTCCAAATCTAGCTTCCCTCCAAACTCCAAAATTTCCAAATTCAGTTCTCATTTCGCTCCGAATATTCTCCATGAATTAATTCTTAGCAAAAGTAATTCTAGTAAGTTCTAGCAAAGTAACTCCTTCGCATAAGGTTGTAACGAATGGGCATGGCTTCACCATCTGACATTAAACTAATGAGCTTGCTGCTTTGCGGATGCGCAATAAGCCGAGGACCAGATTTCCGCATGGCAAGTTGTACGTTTCAGGAATGGGAACGATATGACGGCAAAGAGAGGAGTGAAGGCTGTGACATCCGTGTTGGACTTGATTGAAGGGCTGGAAGAGTTTTCCGGCAATGCAGCGGTGAGTCTTCTTTGGCGCTCGGATCTTTTTGCAAAGGTGACTGGTCTTTGATTGGAACAGACATTGAATTCTTGTTTCATTAGAAGAAACCAAATTGGGCTTCGGATCAATCTAACATATGGAGAATTCATCAAAGTCGTTTCTCATGCGGCAGTCTAGACAGGGTCAAAATAAGTCAACCCAAGAACCTTCCGAGACCTTAAAGGAGGAATTCACGATTAGAATGAAGGTCGAAGAAAGGGAAACTGACCTAGTTGAGGGACCCACGGACCTCCTGAGGGTGCGAACTGACGCGCAATTCGCATGGAAAAATTTGACCTCGGCGACCTATCATGCCTCAAAGCTGGCGGGTCCGGCGATCTCCGCCCACCGATCATCTGATCACTCGCCGTAGTTCAATACGTGGCGAGTGATTAGATAGCTGAGAGAGCGTAGTGTTGAAGAGGGCACAGCGATGAGAGTCGCATCAATGCTCGAATCAACGGGCAAGGAAGGGGTACCATTTCTCGGGTTCTGGGCCGTTTCTCATGGTTCTTCCTTCTTTCGTGTACCACTCACCATCCCTAGGTTAATTTGAAATGGGTTGCTTTTTCATCGTGAATTCGTCCTTTAAGTGCTCTGACTTTTAGCAATTCTACAAGCTGTATCCCGCAGGGTATATTTACACGCCCGGTGAGCCACGCAGCGGAAGATGAAGCCTCCATTAGCTTCACCCTATCCTTCTCCCAGAAATCCCCACCCTTATGCGGCTCTCTGGACGGTCTGGTCAACGAGTACTGCTTCCATTCCATTACATTATGGAATTATCATGGAATTATTTGAGCTCTAACCCAGTGAAAATAATATATTGCAACCGAAACAGAAAAAAATCGAATTTCAAAATTTGAAACAAAATTCGCGAGGAATTTCGGAAAAATTCGTAATCTTACCAAACACATCTCTGTATCCTAACGACGCCCTCCTTTTCCTTGGAACATACACACTCCATTTTCCCCGTAGCATCCTACAGAACCCAATACGACTCAAAGAATTCTCAAGGTTGTTTATAGAAGCAACCTTTGTATTCGCAATACTCCAATTCTGTGACCACCCTCGCTTTAGAGGTCCGCGAGACGACTCCCATCCCACCACCATCCAACTAGGAGGGTTCCTTCACTGCGGCCCTCTTTACCCCGTCCAAACCCTCCACCATTCATAGCTATTGAGGGTAAATAGGTTCCATTATGCCTGTAAATGGCAATCCTCCTGACTTCGCCTGTTCGCCTTCTATCTAAAGTTTCTGCCAAAAGTCGAAACAAAGCATCAAAGACAACTTCCCACGTCGCAACTACAACCCCTTCAACTTCCTCAAATACGACACCCATTCGCACATCACTAGGACTTGAGTCTCGTCTTGTTCAGCCCCGACTACGATCTCCCCCCTCCGCCACCCTGCAAATCATACCTCCCACTATTCGAATAGTTCAGACGGAAAATCGGCTCTGGTTGCTTCAATTTGGTCTGTACTCCGTTCACAGCCCGACTGTGTTTAGCTTATCGCGCAGACATGTGAGTATTGCAAGACTCTTTAGTACTAACAAGATATTTATGAGGTTATAAGTATAAAGGATAAAAGGATAAAGCATTTGCCGTTGATCAATCCCTTTTTGGGATGCGGCACGCATTCTACTTCCATTTGTACATTCGTAGTGGCATTTGAATGCGATGTGGCCTATACATTAGTGTTTTTATCCTCCCAGACAAGTCTGGTACCAATTAACCGACCCCGGAGGGATGGAAGGCTTGGTTGGCCCGGGCGACTCACGACCCAGGATTTGATCCCCGGACCGCTCGCGTGGTAAGCGCGCCACTTGCCACTACACCACTTCCGCCCTTTTAATTTTGTTATTACTTCGTCAATAGCATACATTATACGAAGTTGAAGTGCGTCTCAGTGAAAACCTCTCTTTTATATCACT